ATATTTTCTTATCCTCTTGGTGACTTTTTCTTTCATCTATGGATTACTTAGCAGAGAGTGGTTAATGACCATACATTTGGGACTTTAAAAGAAATTTTATTGTTACATGTTTGTAAGTTCTCTGGTCAAAGACCTTGTCTTATAATTTTATTCTTGAAAATTTATTGGCTAATATTTTTCCAGCTTTATTGAGATATAATTGACATATAACATTGTTTAAGGTATATATTGGAAAGTGATTATTACAGTAAGGTTGGTTAAGACATCTATCATCTATAATTACATTTTTTGTTGTTGTAGATAGATATTTGGTAAATGGGAAGAAAAGGTAGTATATCATTTTCTTTTACTCTGTTCTCATCTCTGGGCAAATGAATCACATACTGATAAAGTAATTGCTCACCAGGTTTTGAATAATATATTACTTTCCAAGTCCTGGACCTCACACCTTGAACTAATTACATTACAATTCAATTCATTATGTTATCTTGTCCAAATGATTTTACTTACTGGGTTTTGTAATTTAACCACTTTATTCTAGATATGAAAGTCTTTTTAGCAAACAGTAGTCGTTTTGTTGAAGGGACTCTATAAAACACAATTTCAACTGGGGAAACATCAAAGTCCATGAATTATATCATTATTTTATGTCTTAAATTTTTACTGATTTGATTGGAATGAATGGTGATCCACAAGGCAAAAATTCTATGAGAAACTCCTAAAACAATAAGCTCAAAACAATTACAATCTGATGCAATTCCATTGTGCATAATCCAAGACTCTAATGACTATGAGTCGACATAAATTACTATTCCCCTGGAGTTTTCTCTTGCAGTAGTAACATGATAATCATTTTTCCAGGGTGTGTTGAAGAATACTTCAGGGATAAAAGTTCCAAGTTGTAAGTATATAAATCATTCCCAGCAGCTCATTCCTTGGACCATTAGTGTCTCTGAGAAAATCTTTCCTGGGTCAGGTAGGTATGAAAATTCTGACTTCCATGCTTGCATTTTATTTTTATTTATTTAATTAAAAAATTTAAGAAATTGATTTTAGAGAGAGGAAGGGAGAGAGAGAGAGAGAGAGAGAGAGAGAGAGAGAGAGAGAGAGAGAGAGAGAATGAGAAACATTAATGGGTTGCCTTCCATAAGCACTCTGATGAGGGATTGAACCCACAACCTGGATATGTGCCCTGGCCAGGAATCAAACCCACCACCTTTTGGTGCATAGGACAATGCTCCAATCAACTGAGCCACATAGGCTAGGTCTGTACTTTCTCTTCTTGTTTCAGTTTTGAATCTTCACGAGTAGGAGTCAGGTGACAACAAAAGCAGCTTTGAATGTTAGTATAATTTCTCAGTATATATTATTTAGATTGGTCACTAGACAAGATAAAATTTAATTGGAATTCCGTGTTTACTATAATCATTTTACTTTATAAATACCATTCTCTTTATTCATTTAATAATTTTAGTGCACAATAAATAACTGTATTGGAGTAAGCAGTTGACAATCTAATAAATTATTTTTAGAATAATATCTATTGAAAAAACAGTTCCCCCTCCAAAAAAACAAAAAAAAAACCAAAAACACAAACAAACAAAAAAAACCCAAAACACTTTGACAAATAATTTTTAAGAAGGACAAATTCAAGCATAATTATACTCATTCTATTAAAGTAAAACTCTCATAAAACTTTATATTATATTATCGGAGAGATAAACTTTTGGGGCAAATTTAATATTCACTAAATATTATATGACTATAATGAGTGTGGGATTTGTAACTACATAAATGATGAGTCAGAATTTCCAAGTGATGGCAATTTTAGAAATTATTTAGTCAAAGTCTGATACTGAATAAATGAGGACTCTGTAGAAAGAAAGCCACTATGTTAAGGTAAAAGGAATGTTTTCTAATGCACTTTTACTGTTGTATGATTGACTGGTATGAAGTCACAATGTACAACATGATCTATAATTTAGGTTCATACATTGTACTCAGGTAATCCATCCTGCCCTTATATGTGTGAGACACTGGAATAAAAAGACCAAGAGAGGGAGAAGGTGCTGGAGTTCATATGGCAGAGTGCTCTAATCTGGGAAATTATATTCACATGGCATGCTTGGCTCCATCACCTATATGACTCAGGTAGTTTTTTTCTTTATTTTCTACCTTAAAATATAATTTTCCTCAGCTATTCTTGCAAATTTAAGTCTTAATGACTTGTTGTGGTAGTTTCTGGACTAAATTACTAAAACTAAAAGTCAGCAACTCATTTCTATCTATTTTCTGGGCTTCTTCCTTTGACTTCAATAGCTAGCCCCTAGTCTGTCAGTCTATCTTATGGGAGTACGACAATGGTGACCTTATGTGTATGAAACAGTACATATGACAGAGTCCAATGTGATCCTGCTACCTTAGACATTTGGATTTTAACTGGAGCCTGAAGAGAGCAAACTTTTCCCCACTGAGATTTGCTTAGCCCAAAGAGAGCATTTGAGCTCCAGGCTCTTTGAACAAGTGAGTTTAGGAAAGGCAGCCTATTCTTACCCCTCTCCTTTAGGTTCAAGTGCATGTCGGTATATAAAAGGTTCTGAGACTTCCTGCAAGCCTGGATCCAACTCCCTTTCCCCCTCCAAACTCAGCATTTTAATATTTATTTTTATCATAGACCAGTTTTTGTTGCCCATTATTCACTTGTTTCGCTGAACACAGTTATGGAAATATTAATCTAAAAACTCAGGTGACAGAACTGTGTTCAGTGGATAGAGCATTGGCCTATGCACTGAAGGGTTCTGGGTTCGATTCTGATCAAGGGTACATGCCCAGGTTGAGGGCTTAAACCCTGGTTGGCATGCAGGAAACAGCCTATCAATGATTCTCTCTCATCATTGATTTTTTTAAAAAAATCTCTCTCTCCTTCTCCCTTCCTCTCTGAAATCAATAAAAAATATTAAAAAAAAACTCAGGTGACAGCAAGCTTACTTTTTATTTGTGCCCTATTTTCCCCATTCCTAATTGTACTTGTTCTATCAGTTGCAGGATTCTCCTAAAGGTAAAATAGATTAGAATGGCATAATTGCTTTGTAAAAGTGAAGTGTCTGTGGGCATGAGAAAAAATACTATTATCAAAATATAGCCTTTCCTTTCATAACTGTAGAATGTGGTTGCTAAGCCTATTTACAGGAAAGAGTAGAAAATAGGCAGATTAAATACCAATCTAATTTTTTTTACATTTTTATTTTCTTTATTGTTGTCTTTATTAGTTGTTTAATGTAATATGATGATCCACCAGGTGCTACTATTTGGAACATGGTTGTAGAGATTTAAAGATTAGATGAGTATCTGCATGTCACAATAATAGAAGATTTCATTACTAAGCGAACATTTTCCTAATGAACTTGTTCTTCTGGTGAGTGAGGAAAGAGCTCTTTTGCTATTGACATAAATCCTGATTGTCTAATGATTGCATTTTCCTGCCAAAGGCCAAAGTTGTATATTTAAGCCTTGCAAATTCTATGTCAAATTACCAGGGGATGTTGGTTCTAATTTATCACAGTAACTTGGGAATAACAGGGAATAACACACACACACACTCGAAAAAAACAACATCAAAGACAAATTCAAAGAGCTTTCAGGAGTGTTCACACTCTTCTGAGCTTATAGTGGGGCCTTTCAGTTTGTTCCCATGTTTGCCACATCTTTTTTTTTTTTTCCTTTATTGATTAAGGTATTACATATGTGTCCTTATCCCCCTATTCTCCTTGTCTCCCCTCCCCTTCATGCCCCCCCCCCCCCGCCCCCGTGCCCTCACCCTCTAGTGTCTGTGTCCATTGGTTATGCTTATATGCATGCATACAGGTCCTTTGGTTGACCGCTCCTCCTAACTCCCCACCCTCCCCTGACTTCCCTCTGAGGTTTGACGGTTTGATGGATGCTTCTCTGTCTCTGGATGTTTTTGTTCATCAGTTTATGTTGTTCATTATATTCCACAAATGAGTGAGATCATGTGGTATTTATCTTTCTCTGCCTTCTCTTAAATGTTTCATTTGGCACAATTGAAAATGCATGCCTGCCTCTAGGTGGAGTATCTTTGATTTCTCTTGAAAGCCTGCTGTCTCTGCATAGACCAACTTCACTAACTGAAGGGCCTACACTGGTCCTAGAAAATTCTTAGTTACCTTTAAGCCCAGTTGAAGGTTATCATTCTTTGATACCTATCCTGATGCCTGAATGCAATTAGTGTTAAGTGAAAAAAAGGGATAAGCAAACAAAACTATGATCTAAGTTTTGACTATTTCTCTTTTCCTCATCTATGTCTCTCTTGCTCTTATTCATAGAAACTCTTCTGGATGAAAATTTTTCCATCAGTAATTTATGGGCTTATCAGTAATTTTAATTTTAGGCCTTTATTTCCAATTTCAAGGTTCTTATCTATTCATTTAGGGATACCACAACCTCCTATAGTTCATGGATTATGCAGTCAAACAGGTCCAAGGGAATTTGCTTCAAACCTCTATAATTTTAAGCTCTCTAATTCAGTAGGGAGTGCAGTACTCAGAGGTTGAACTTCTAAATATGCACAATGGCTAATGACTGAAAAACATTTTCAAACACATTACCATTTTGTCCAGAAACAAATACCGAGCTCAGTGATGAAGCCGGTGATTTTACGTTGTGTACTGCATGTGGCACGTTGTGGTTCAATCCATTTTTAGACAAACTATGTGTCATAATTCCCATATTCCAAAACAACTTGGTGTCACAAGGGTCATTTTATTTGGGAATCATCTGAATGTTATATACCTAGGTAATAGGGACCTTGACCTTCTTTTAAAAGTTCCCACTCCTACAGTCTCAGATTCCAATAATAGCTATGTGTGAGGGTGCCTGAGAGTGGAAGAAGAAGAGAGAAGGAAAATGAGAGAAAGAGAAAAGAAACATATGATGGACTTCTCATTCACTTCTTAATTTATTTTCATTCATCTAAGTGAGCAATGCTGGCACCTAAGAAAATGGTCAGAGGAAATTCTACCTTGGTGACTGAATTTATTCTTTTAGGATTAACGGATCGTCCAGAGCTTCAGCCCATCCTCTTTGTGCTGTTCCTGGTGATCTACCTGATCACTGTTGGAGGGAACCTGGGCATGTTGGTATTGATCAGGATAGATGCAAGACTCCATACCCCCATGTACTTCTTTCTTGCCAGTTTGTCCTGCTTGGATTTGTGCTATTCCACGAACGTGACTCCTAAGATGTTGATGAACTTCTTATCTGAAAAGAAAACCATTTCTTATGCTGCGTGTTTAGTCCAGTGTTATTTTTTCATTGCCATGGTGATAACTGAATATTACATGCTAGCTGTAATGGCTTATGATAGGTACATGGCCATCTGTAGCCCTTTGCTTTACAGCAGCAAGATGTCCAAAGGCGTCTGTATCCGCCTGATTGCTGGTCCATATGTCTATGGGTTCCTCAGCGGCCTGATGGAAACCATGTGGACATATCGCTTGACTTTCTGTGGCTCCAACATCATCAATCACTTCTATTGTGCGGATCCACCCCTTATCCGACTCTCTTGCTCTGACACTTTCATTAAGGAGACATCCATGTTCGTGGTAGCAGGATTTAACCTCTCCAACTCCCTCCTTATTATCCTCATCTCCTACATCTTCATTCTCATTGCCATCCTGAGAATACGTTCTGCTGAAGGCAGGCAGAAAGCTTTTTCCACCTGTGGGTCCCACCTGGTGGCAGTGACTGTGTTTTATGGGACCCTCTTCTGCATGTACGTTAGACCTCCCACGGACAAGTCAGTGGAGGAGTCCAAAATCATTGCTGTGTTCTACACTTTTGTAAGCCCTATGTTGAACCCCATCATTTACAGTCTGAGGAACAAGGATGTGAAACAAGCTTTGTGGAAATTGGTTAGAAGAAATGTACTTTTGAAGTAATATCCCAGTGTATCTTTCTTTAAAAATTAAATAAAAGATATATTTATAACAGCTGGATCTGACTTTAACTGCATTTATAGTAAAATCAATTTTAAATTGTTGATGAAAGCTCTAATATAACTACAAAACTTAAAAGACGTGTACAGAGGATGTGTAGTTTTCTATGAGACATGTGAATGCATTGTGTATGTAAAGAGGGGGGAGTTATATATGCATGTGGGGTATACTTCCTCTTCCTATATACATTTTTACATTTATAACTTTATATATTACTTTTAGATTATAAAACATTCTTAGAGTAAAACATCAAAACTCTAGAAGAGTATAAAGTAAAAGAATAAAATATATTTTTTCTTTATCCTGAGCTTCCATTGTCATTTCTCAAAATTCTCACTATTAATAGTTCTTAAGTTTTAAGAAAATTTCTATATATCTACAAATCAATATATGGTATGATTGTATATATACACATATACATACAATTTTAATACACATGTTGACTATCATGAGCTAATTTTTAGTATTTTATAATTCTGTAGCATTTACAATGTAGGGGTTTTGATCCCATGGTTTACAGAAATGTCACCAAAATGCTGTTGAGGCTTGCTGTCACCTCTAGGAAAAAGAACGTACTATAACACCCCCATGTCCTTGCCTGACATCCATTTATTTCTCTCTGCTTATGAGAGTTATTTTTAATAAGACATTTCCTTCTTCTGCCCTAACAGGAAACAAGAACCTCCAGACTATTTGTTTTAGATATAACTTCTGAAACAGGCTAAGAATGGCCCTTATAAAAATATATGGCTTGTCTCAGAAAGAATTGTAATTTCTGTAGAGCTTATTATTGTCATTCTAGCTTCCTGGGGCCTAGGGTTGTATGTCTTCCCTCATCTCTGCATATTTATTTACTTTTCAGGAGATAGATATTTGCTATTTGTACCACAGTTCAAATTTTACCTACAATTATCCTTCGAGGAGTTAATTCTTTGGCGATGTTAACATTCCAGGTGACTTTGCAACGACATAACATAAGCAAAATCAATGAATGTGTACTGAGCATTTCCAATAAGCCAAGTACTGCTCCAAGTACTAAGGCACCTTTAGGAGTTCTAAGATTGTATAGGTTCTCGAGTTCACGAAGCTGTAAAGAGAAAAATCAATACAACTTGTCAAGTGTTTAAAAGATGGAAGAGCTAATGCAAAAGAGGAAAGAAGCAATTTATTCCCAGCATACTGAAGATAGTCTTGTGGTTGTGCAAGACAAAAACTTAATCATTCCTTGTGCTCCTGCTCCAAAATACTCATAGCCTCCAGTAAAATGTTATGTCAGAACATGCAGGTCTGAACAAAGTAAGTGTTAGAACTGATTGGTGATCACATATGTTAATGTTGCTGCCAGTGGCAGAGGAAAAGTCACAGAACTGTAATGAGTCATCTCCAACTGAGATATTTTTTCTCAGCTTATTTCAGTTTCTTTCCCAACTTAGAGCCTATTTTTGCTCAATATTTTCTGTAGGATAACATTTTAATGTTCATTAATTGTATATTATCCCATATAATTATTTCAAACCCTCTTATGACCAGATGATATTTAAATAACTTTATACCGAAAGCCAGACTATCTACAAATTATGTTAAAATACATATATAAACAAATAATTATTTTTTTTGCACATGATAGAATTATGTTTCTCTTTTGGGTTTAGGTGAAAGTGTGTTGCTATTTCTGGACAATGAGTTAGATTAGAATTCATATGTATCAATTCTCAGTTCAGCATATAATTGTTGGTAAGAGAACCCTTCAGTGGGTTTTTTTCTTTCCATGGTGAGCATCATGGGTCCTTGAGTGAGGAGATGTGAAACAAACCTCACTGTCAATTCAAAATAGAAACATAGAATGAACGAGAAGTGCCCTTTGTTTTATAAGCTACTACAATATGTTGAGTTACTTATTTCTAGGAAATAGCCTCTTCTGACTCATACAATATTAATCATATAAAATTTAAACAGGTGGGATGCATACCATATAGAAATTAAACACCACAACCCCCCCCAAAAAAAATCACAATTGGGAATTTATATTCTTCCAGTCTTTTTTCTATGTTTTTACATATATGCATGTGTTTAGTTAAAATCATTTATTGTAATTATTGTTTTAATTACTAATGTAAACTATGTATATTGTTTCAAAAGTCAATTAATATTATAAGACTTATATGAGTTTTTGTCTCACTTCTTACTCTTGTCTTCCCATAGATATCATCTTCCTATTATTTCCTTTGGTAATTAACTCATTTTAGATTATATTATATGTCTAGTCATTGATTTTTCAATCATGACCATGATTGACTGACACCTTTTTTATTAAAAAAGAAAGCATTATAATTCTTCCACAAATACCTGCATTCCTATCCAAGAGCCACCACTTCTTTCTCCTCATCTTCACAATCTGGCCACATTTGAATTTTTTCTTAAATAAATATTGTTTTTTTTAAACTACTATGAATATATCATTAGTGATACTTTAATACTATGAGTAACACTAAGAGCATTGCCAATACTAATTACTAAGATCGTTAGTAGTACTATGAATGTCATTCTCTGTTTGCAGAATTGTTTGATTTTCATAGAGCTGACAGTTGTCTTTACTTTTATCGTTGTGTCCACTTTCCCCAGAACTTTCACTGAACTATACAGGACCTTCTGTAGAGACAAACTGCTGGATGACCTATAATAGGCACACTTTCGCCCCGAGGCTTCTATCTTACTCTTGGATTTTGCACGGTTGCTTTCTAGATTGGTTGCTGAGCTGCTATCTGGAGACAGTGATTGCTATCATTGGTTTAAAATGTTTATTAACTGAACTTATGTTGATCACTGGGCAATATATTAGAACTGGAGATTCAACAATAAACAAGACAAAAAAGTCCTCTATTAAACTTTAGGAGGGACAGAGTCAGATAGCAAACAAACAGATAGAATATCTCATCCATCATACTTTTAACAATAAAGATAAATTAGAAAGGAATGTCTCAGGTATGGGTAAATGCTGTGGAAAGAGTAAGACAAGTCAATATGGAAGATGGTAACTGGCCACATCAGAAGCGAAGGTCATGCTAATGGGTCAGCTTCAATAGATGGGAAAGGACTGTTGGAGAAAGTGACATTTGAATTGCAGTCTAGATAAACAGCATAAGGCAATCATAACCAAAGTCTTTGGGAATTGTAACCAGGAGAATCAAAGTTTTAGGCATGAAGCCTGGCACGTTGGAATAACAAAAAGAAAGGCCCTGAGCTTAATAAATGGGAGAAACAACAGGTGATGCAGATGCCAGAAAACCAAACATGGGAGGCATGGTAGAAACAATAAATTAAATCTAGTCTTTCATGTATTTAACATATATTTGTTGATTATTGTCTATATGAAGCACTGTTGTTGTCACTGGTAGTTACCAGTGTCTCACATTCCATGTGTTTTTCTTCTGGAAACTAATCATTTGTACCTAGTATTATTTCTTTAAGTATCCCATCAATCTGCAAACTTCTTTAAGGGACAGATATGTTATTCATATTTGTATTCTGGGGAGTAAACAACATTGAACTTTGCACTGAGAACATATTTAGTGTGAATTAGTTAAAGGACAACCAATGTAGTAAATAAGTTGGAGAACTTGAAATGATGAAGACAATGACCTGAATTCAGTTTCATGAGTTATGTCCCCAAAGTATTGTAAATTTGTTTTTCATTATTGTCTTAAATATTGCCCTACTACTGAGCAGACAAATGGTCTAAACATCAATGAATTATAAAATACAGAATTAAAAAATCTTGAATTGAGAAAGTGTAGTACTACCAATTACTATTTCTCCCCATGAGAATGCTCTTCATTGGGATTTCATTTTTAATTGTTTCTTAAAACAGTTAGGGATTCTCCTGAGATAAATGCTGTCAATAAGTTGGGTATAAATCCTATAGCACTGGCAAGAATTTGACCTTTGTGGTCACTAAGAAGACACACATTTTTACAGGTAGGAGAGGAAATGTGTTTACATATTAGTTTTCAATATCTAGCAATTTAAGGATTTGCTTCACTAGACTGCATACTTTTTAGATATTGATGTGTTGAAATAGGCAATTTCACAGGAAATTTGCACAGACAATGCATATTCTATGAGAAAAAATCTATAGGGTGGTTGCTCGACCCTGTCTTTCTCTATCTTACCATTGTTTTTGCATCATCCTGGGAGAATTTCATACTATGGATCTCCAACAGATGTTTCGATAAGATTAGTTTCAAACAACATTCTTTTTCTGTTTTTCGTTTTCCTAATTTCTGGGTATCTTCTGCCATCAATTTCCACAAGAAAAAGACAATTAGAAAATTTAGATCCATGAAGTTTATTAATAGTTTAAAATTTTTCCGACTTCTCAGAATTAAAGTATATGCTCATAAAGGCATTTTCTTGTGAGCGTTAAACATATGGAGAAGTTAGCTTCAGTATATGCAGCTTTGAGGTTTAGACTAGAAGATCACTAAGTCCTTTATGGTTCTCTTACTTAAAAGGTTCTAGATTCTTTTCCAATGTCCTGTTTCTGTCTAAGATCTGTTTTTTGTTTTGTTTTGTTTTTACAAACCATGCTTGTACTCCAGAGAAACTCCCCCCACCTCGAATTTTTTTTCAGCCAAGATACTTGAACTATGAATCAGTCTGATAATAATAAAAAAACCAAATTGGGTCAAAGGTCTTACAACAATAAGCTGATGAAGAGTATTCTGATCCTTCTTTTGCCAGGTGCCACATGCAGCTACTTGACTCATCCAGGTTTCTAACTGCATATGAGTGTCTGCTGTGTTTCTTGATGCTTAGCGGCAGTCTGACAGATCTCCCATGAGCTATATCTGTATATTAGTTGTCTCTGCCATAGCCCCACAATTCTAGAATTAAAATATGGTTAGTTATAATTTTTTCTACTAAAACATGATGTTTGCCTATAG